ACAATATAATATAATTGCTGTCAGTTTTCATTTGTAGGCAGGATTTGCACACTTGAGTTGTACTTCTTCCCAAGAACGCGAGCTGGCATTCAATCGGAGTGTTAAAATGAAGTGCTGTAAAATTTTTCTTTTGCTTTCAAATCAACCCTAGGTTTATGTTTTGACAAAGTATTCATTCTTCATGCAAAGGATTTTCATGTACAGCTGACGATAAAGAATATTTCTCGCATCTTTCTGCGCAATTTCGTTTCAGTTGGACAGTTTGTAGAAGTTACCCTTGCAATGCTAATTTATAATCATTTATTCGATTGCTTTTAAAATATGCTTTCTAGTATTATATATCACCTTAACTTTTAGTCAAGCAATAAAATTACACAAGATATACCTTGTAAAGCTGGTTTAGCTGCCAATGCTAAGAAAATCTACCATCGCTAACAGAAACAAACAATTTATGTGGACGCGAATGAGGAAAGAATAATAGCACAGCTTAGAAAGAAAGAAATTGGTAGATGAAGTGCTTAAGACCCGATGTTCTCCCGTTTTGCAACAACATGAACGTAGGAATATATGAGAGTGGCCACGACACAGATGCCGCCCATCACAAGCCAGACAAAACCCTAAATATTAATGTTTTATGAATCTATGTAATTCCAAAGTTCATAAGGAAGTAAAAAATTCTAGGTGGAAAGCTTGTTGTTTGTGTCGATCACTTCACGAAATCTTTTCTTATGTGAAGGTAAGATATCCATACCTGGTACCAATCAACCGTGGCAATATAGATATTCTGAAGAATCGCGGTCTGTACAAATCCAGCCAATTTTTGTGCTATTGAACTTATTGCAAACGCTTTTCCCGTCTGAAATAACACATTGATAGAATGGAATTCATAATGATTTAGCAAATTTGGCGAAATCTAAAAAATTTCACGACAAATTCACTACAGTATGATGTAGTCATCATACTGTAGTGAATTTGTCGTGAATCATAGGTAAAAATTGCGCCAACCTCGTTTCCATCCACAAGACACGAAAGAAAGGAGTAACTCAGAGGATTTAGCAGACCATGAAGACTTCCTGGAGCCAAACTAGCATATATCATCCATGATGACTGTAATCAAACTTCTTTAGCAAGGCTTGTAGCAAGTAGTACTGCAACTTACATAAGCTAACCCTATCATCACTAGATTTACTCCTAATGTGGCTATCGTAAGACAGATGACAAAAGTATCACGAAGATTAAGCCATTTCTTGAAGACAAACAATCCAAAAAACATTCCAATAATCTCTAGAAAGTCAAAAGAAGATAATTTCTTTGTGTAGGGCTCAAGCAGCCTTAAAAAAAACCTACGAACTATCGGTCTTATGGAACGGTAATCAGCATACTGCTCGCTATCCCAATTAAATGGTGGTAGACGAGTGTATGTGCCAATCAGTGCTGCAACAAATGCATTTTCACCGAAATACTGCATGCGACAGTTCATTCTTTGTACATTTCTCCTCTCCAAAAACAAGTTGATCCATGAAATTTGCTGTGAAGGTGAGGTAGAGAAATAGCCGTCGATGTCCCTCTCGAGAAAGTAGGAATATTTTCAAAGAGGCGTAGATAGAATAGAAAGACAGTTTAGTCACCTCCCAGAAATCGGTGCTGAATAAAGGAGAAGTTTACTTATATGTTATTGACTCGCCCCAGAACAACGCTATTTTTTATCTGAAATAATGAGAATAAGCCTATATTAACAGACAAGAGCATTTTCCTATGAAAAAAGGTCTTTGTAAATGATGTGACAGATAAGAATGCCTTATATTAACAGACAAGAGCATTTTCCTATAAAAAAAGGTCTTTGTAAATGATGTGACAAATAAGAATGCTAGTGCTTCTAGTTTAACAAAATTATCTCTTTAAAGTTTTTTGAAAAATTTTTATTCCTCGACTCAATACTAATACAGCTATCAAAACAAGGAAACCCAAAACACAACTAACCTCACAACTTCATTTTCCCCTTCTTCCTCCAGTGGTCTCTTCTTCGGAGTTGTAT